ACCTTGATAGCTGGCTCTCAACTCTGTGAGATATCTTCTCCATCTTCTGTCCCAGATAAGACTTTGTGTGTCAGTGAGAATCATCGACACAAGACATCGAATGTCGAATGGCGTGAAATCATACGCATTGAATGTCCCCTTCAGGAGCTGTTTGAAGAACTGCGAATTCAGACCATTGTTTTGAATGGCCTTTGATAAGTCTTTGATCACTTCGTGACCCAACCTTTCCCACCTTGGATTTTGACCTTGTGCATCATATGTCACTGGCATTATTATGTCTCCTGACCCTCTGATCAAACCCTTTTCTTTTGATAATTCATTTCTAATTTCCTTCCAGTCTATTGATTCTATTGGTTGTTCTTCTTCATCCTCTGGAAACTCCATTGGCCATTGCCTGCACAATGGAATCGTGGAGGCTCTTGGTGATCCTTTGCTCCATGTTCTTTGACTTGAGGTCCTCAGTCTTGCTCCTAAATCTGAAAAAGAAACTTGAGGTTCTCTTGAACGCGTTCTTTTTGCTGCATCAAAAGACTGCAGAAGATTCCTTGCTGCTTCCGCTGCTGAAAGCATCCATGCTGGAATTCCCTCTCTTGCTGTAATGTGTATCATTTCTTCTCCTTGAGGCTGTGTTTCATCTGAACTGTCTTCAACTTCATATAATCCTGAAGTTGATGGAATATTATCCTTTTGTCGTGTTGTTGTTGTTGTTTTCATTTTCTTTGATGTAGCTTTCTTTTTATAAATTGTTGGAAAAAATTGTTGCATTGTTGCAGTTTGGCCAGCAGGTGATGTGGTGGCGCTGTCGAGCAGGTCCGACATGTCCTGCAATGTGGTCGTCCCTCCACGAGGTGGCGCTGTCGCCTGCCTGGAGGACCTTGATGACGACACGAACTCGATCGGTTCCTGTTCAGCAGACTGCAACGCTTGCAATCGTGTTTGAGACCGAGTTTGCATGGCTGTTAACTGAGCTGGCATTGAGGGTTGAATACTTGAACGTTTCTTTTGAGTGGAAGGGGTTTGAAACTAAAGGCATCGAGACCGGAGAGGGGGTGGAGCCCCGGGATGTCGAACCCCGAGCGTGGCCCCTCCTTTTCCCCCCAGACGTCACAGAGGATCAGACCCGCCCCCGTCCTCGCTCCGCCGGCACTCCCTGCGCATGCGTGCCTTCGGGGACGCCGTCTGCCTCCCCTGTACTGACGTCACTGTCTCCGTCCCGCTCCACCTCCGAAGTCTCCTCCCTATTGTCTGTTCCTGTCCCTTTCTCCTCCTCCTCTGACGCTGTATCCACACCCCCCGCCAAAGCGCGCAGCCCCCCCCCCCCTCCCCCCCCCCCCGCGGGTGTCCCCTTTCGCGCCGCAATTCGAGCCGATCTCCAGGTCCAGATTTCCGGGTCTGACGTCACCACCGCGCGTCTCCTGCGTCCCCCCACGGTAGCTCGCTGGAGCTCTGCAGCTGCTCCGCCCTTGCTGCCCGTGTCTGACGCTGCCGCGTCGGTTCGAGAGCACTCCCCGGCCATCCCCCGAGCCTTGCTCGACACGCGCACTTTTGGCACCACGCCAGATGAGGCTGCCACCGCTTTCGGCGTTGTGCTCGCAAAAGCCGCACCAGAACCCGTGTCTCCCATCGCCTCCACGCCCCCCCTGCGGCCGCCGCCGCCACCGCGCCTGCCGCGAGAGAGCGCATCCCCCCTCCCCGCTTGTTCCCTTTGAACCCCCCTCCCCGACTCCGCCACTTTTTCCACCTCCTCTCCCTCTGATTCCTGCGAATCGGGACGGTACACTCCTGAAGAGTGACCTGTCTCCTCGATATCGCTGGGAGAAAACCTCATTTCATCAGGGAGTGGAATGGTATCATCTGTGTCTGAGTCGGAGTCTGAAGCCCCTGCACTCTCTGGGGTCTCAGGAAGCTTTAGGGTTCCCTTGGGTCTTCGGGATGGTGGGACTGAAGGCAATGACATTTCTCCTTGTCCCCTTTTCTCGGGCACCTTTTCCCCCGGGCCAATTGAGATCAGAGCCAATCTCTGCTTTGAGCCTTGCTCTGCTCCCTCTGCCCCTGTGGGACTCGCAACAAGTTGTTGCCTGGCCGACCCCCTAAATTGAGTCGAGGTCGCCTCTAACATAATTCTTGCTGAAGACAGCAATTTTAAGGCTGTCTTATCCTCATTGATGGCTAGAAAATATAGGTGTCTGTTAACTTCTTGCCAAAAGCCTACTTCAAATAACAACCGTGTTTCTGAGTACGGGTAATTACACCGCACCCACAACAATAATTCTCTGAGCTTTTTCTTTGGGATCCCCTTAGTGTGTGTGTCTGCCACGCCCTGTAGGTCGGACAGAATCTCTATTTGTTCCTGGGAAAGTGTACCCCCCATGTTCTTAATTCTTGACCTTCTCACCGAATTTCTGTCGTCAGAGCAGTCCGAAGGCTCCTGGTCTCTGGCCTGCAGGTCACAGGAGATGGATTCGGAGGCGCCTTTCCGATTCCGATCCGGGCTGTCCTGGTACGAACTTTCTTCGGCCGAAGTGGAGTGCGATGTTCTCTGTGGCTGCTGCGTCTTCAGATTCTCCTGGCTGCTTTCTGGCTGAATTCCCGAGGAGTTATCAGTGCTCTCCTGGGAATGAGTCCAACTCGGGAGCTGCCCACTCGGTGCTTCAAGGCTGACCCTGTGCAAGAGGTGCACACCAGAGCTCACCGTGGCTCAGCAAGTGCTGCCGGATGCTGCTGGATCGCCGGTTGCTTCCGAGCAGCCCCCCGGATGCCCACCGGGTGCCCACCCAGGGACGCCAAATGTCGGGTTCGGCTGTCTGTCTCTGCCCCGACACGGATAGAGTGGTTCTTGGGTGGCACGCGTTTCAAAGGACGAGTCTGGACTCTTCAGCTTTTCGGTCTTCAGATTGTTTATTATTTCTTATCTACAAAATTTTCTGTCTGCCCAACAGAGGTCTGATCTGCAAGCAGTCACAGGCACTCTCTGACCACCCACGGGGCGGTCATGTCTTTTTATACTAAAATCTACGTACATAATATTTACCTTTATTTCCCAATGCTTTTCACCCATGTTAGCAAGTGCACCTTCACCATAAACCAATCCCCAAGTGCCAACATCATCACAGGAGATGGAGGACAAGAAGAAGAAAGAAGAAGGACGAGACACGCCCTGATCCCTCCATCTTGTCTCCATAACCCCCCTGTACCAAAAACCTTAAAGTCTATATTTCACCCTCTAAATGTGTCCCTTTTACACTTTTCACTCTAAAGTGATTCTCATGTCCTCAAACTCTTGTTACTTCTGTGGATGGATCAAAATCAAGCCACCAAACACTCTTGGCAACATTCCAGGATTTTCGAGACCCCCCCCCCCCCCCCCCAAGGGTTCTCCTGGCATCTCTGGACATCAACAATGTGCTGAGATCCCACACCCTCCCTCCTTCCTCAGCTCTACCTCCTCCCTGCCAGAGGTGCAGAGAGACAGGGAAGGGGGGTTACAGTCAGTTCATCACAGGTTGCTTCTGCCGTTGCTCAGGCGGAAGAGTCCTTTACCTGTGCCAGCATGTGGTCCTGCCCATGGGAGACAATTCTGCACAAACTTCTCCAATGGTAGTGCTTCCCATGGACTGCAGTTCTTCATTAACTGCTCCATCATGGGTCCCTTCCATGGGGTGCAATCATCTGGGGACAGACTACTCCAGCATGGGTCCCCCATGGGGTCACAAGTCCTACCAGGAAACCTGCTCCAGCATGGGCTCCTCTCTCCATGCATCTGCAGGTCTCTGCCAGGACCCTACTCCATCACAGGTTTCGTACAAATTCACAGCCTTCTTTCAGGCATTTGTCTACTCTGGCGTGGGACTCCTCCATGGGCTGCAGCAGGACAGCCTGCTTCACCATGGTCTGCACTATGGGCTGCAGGGAAATCTCAACTCCAGCCCCTGGAGCACCTCCTGCCCCTCCTTCTGCACTGACCTGGGTGTCTGCAGAACTGTTCATCTCACATATTCTCATTCCTCTCTTCTCTGGCTGCAATTACAACTGCACAATATTATTTTTTTTTTTTTTTTTTTTTTTTTTTTACTTCTTAAATATGTAATCACAGAGGCGTTACTACCATTTCTGATTGGCTCAGCCTTAGCCAGCAACAAATCGATCCTGGAGCCAGCTGGCATCGGCTCTGTCAGACATGAGGGAAGCTTCTAGCAGCTTCTCATGAATGCCACCCCTGTAGTTCCCCCTGCTGCAAAAACCGGGCCATGCAAACCCAATACATGAATTTCTTTATTTCACATTACATGGAACTTTGATTTAGCAGAATGATACAGCAATTTACTTAAATAACAGTGCAAGTACAAGTTACATTTAGCAGAGTATAGCAGTTGCAATGTACAGTTGTATCACAATACAAATGTGTTTGCCATTATTGGTCTCCATCACAATGCTGGGCATCCCCAGTTGTTGGGAAGAAATATTTGGGTTGAAACCGACTCAAGCCTATTGCTCTACTCAACGTTCTGTCTGTTTGTTGGACCATTTTTATACTATATATGCTATACTTAGTTTTTATACTTGGTTTTGTCTCTATACTAAGTTTTTATAATGATTTTGGCTGAGCCACGTATACACCCACCCATTCTGGCCTCACTAATGCAGGAATATATGTATTTGATGATATTATCAACTCAAGGGCAGATACACAGCCATTTTAATTCCTTAACTGTTGTAGCCATTTATCTATAACAAAGGCTACCTTCAGTCTCCTTTGTGTTAAGTTCAGCTTTTTGTAACAGTTGTCATCAGTAACTCCCTAATTCTTCACTTAACTTCATGAGTATGTAGTCCTTGCCTATCTCCTCAGCCTTCTTCCATTGTAGAAACTCATTGATAAATCCCATCATGATGTGTTTAAGCTTTTTTACTTGAAAAGGAGAACTTTTCTATAAGATACCTTTTTGACATTGTGTATAAACAGATTTTATTGTTCAGTAATTCCATCATTTATATTGTAGGTCATGCGGGAGTCTCTGCAAGCATGATGAAGAAAAGAACTTCCCACAAGTAAGTTCCTAATACTTCCTCAAGTGTAGTTCTCAATAACTGGCAGTACCATTCTAGAAATGTATCTGTATTGTTCCAGTCATTTTGAAAAAAATGCGGAGCAGTATTCAAATGGTGTATGTGTGTAGAATCAGACTTTATTCTTTTGGGAGGACAATGGGAAAGAATGCACCATTGGTACAGTTCTAAACATCATTTTGAATGTTATTCTGAGAGAAATTATTCTATCAATAAAGTTCTGTAACTTATAATTCAGAAACAAGAGATTGCAAGCCAGAAATTGGGCATATGTACTCTAGGATTCATTGCAGCTTGTTTTTGAAAAGGTTTTTTTACCTTTTTAAAAAAATAATCAATGTACTGTAGTATGGCTACTATTTGTGCGAAGGTTACTTGCTTATCCTATACATTTATCATATTTATTATTCACTGTACTAGAATTTGAGATAGTAGCTAAATGTTGCTATGAGTAAATGTGAAAAGATATAGGTAGTAGCTTAGACAAAAATTACCTTCATTTCAAACAGCTAGATGTATCTGGCTGCATCTCTGGTGGGTGAACTCTAAAATAAGCTAGAGAAAGGTGAAATTTATTAAAATGCTATTAGTTATATTTTGAGTATGAAGTCCTATAATGCTGATATACAACAGGCATAAATCCAAAACAATTTGTCTGGCAGAAATATCTTCCATGATTAACATTTGAATTAGTATTAACGATTTCCCAAATGCAACACCTGATGTAAAACTACTCTCAATTCCTTCCACCAACTCTTCATTATTCAGTCTTGTCTATCTCCTTACAAGGCAGAGATAAACATTTATTTGTCTAGAGACAGGTAGAGTTAAAATTTAATTTCTTTTGTTCTTTTTCAACCGCTCAGAGAAAGGAGTGTATGATGGGAAGACTATCAGAGGTGGGTTGCCTTTTGTACTTGAGGGTGGCTAGATTTGTCTTTATTGTTATTTTGATATACACTTATTTAAATACCTAAATAGGTTGTATATTTTTTAGCATAAAGGCTTTTATGGGGCATATTAAGTTATTATCCTAAGTCACGTGGTTTTGAGGCATTTAACTTAAGCGCCCAGCTGAGTTTTATATTGATTTAGCCTAGTTTAATTGTTTAAGAATTGTTTGGTGAAGGTTTTATTTTGTACCAAACCAAGATGACTTTGTGTGCTGCTCAATGACTTCTCCGCAAATGACACACTAGTATAGAGTTGTTTTTATTTGATATTCATTGCTTATATTTTTGAAATGAACAGTAAGTAGCACTGTAGACATGTTTAAACAAGTGAGATATGAATCACTGTTTAAAAATGTATGCTGATACTACTATGAGCCGTTACAGCAGACCATTAATTAATAATGCATACTTTGTCATTGATTTAGTTATGATGACTTTTACATTCCTCATTAAAAGAAAAAGAGGAACAAGTTACTGGCACTTGAAGTCGTAAGTTCATAGGGGAGGGAAGAGCCACCAGGACAGAACAGGACCTAGTCCAGTAACTGAGGAAGAGATAAAATGAGCTGTGTGGATTAGTTTTCTAAATTCTTCTTAACTAAAATGTTAGTTAACCATTGACCCTTTTGGAAGGGGGTCCCATGGTCAGCTACAAAAGGGCAGTTCTTCTGAATGTTCTGTCAGTGTCAATGGGTAGTGATGATTTTTGCGAATAAAAAGTTGACTTTGTTTGTGTCAGATCAGTCAGTAGTCTCTTGGTTCTTATCTTTTCCACCCTCGGTGCATAAGGAAATAGTGTAAGTATAACATCTTACCAGTTTCTCATAGTTGGTGGTTCAAGGACTTTGTGGTGAAGATTCTATCTGCCCCTTAACTATCACTGTACTTATCCCTTGTGAATTTCTGATCGCAGTTTAAACTAACTTCTTGTGGTGGTTTATACTTGACTATGAGCCAAACTCCCACCCACCTGCTTACTCCCCTTCCTCAGTGAGGCAGGGGGAGAAAATAGAATGAGAATGTTCATGGGTCAAGATAGAGACAGGAAGATTGCTTACTGTTACCAATTGAATGGGAGCTTCAGACAAGCCCTGCCTTTGCCTCAGATTTTTGGCAGCAGCCTAAATTTAGGTGGCCTGCAACTAAAATAGCTCTGGCCTGCAAGTTCTAAGAATGGCAGATCAGGTCTATTATAAAATAAGTTATTTATTGAATAAGCAGGAGATAACAGACAAAAGGCCTTAAACAAAGTTACTTATTACACAGTATAAAACAAAAAGAACTACTAGTAGATTACATAAAACAGTGCACGACATTAAGGTACCTATATTAAAGCAAGCAAAGAAATAGTATTGATTAGGAGTCAATGTAAATTATCACTGAAATGACAATAGTGTACACAGGTTCCCTTCCCTCAACTCCTGGGAGAGTAACCAAAAAGCAGGTGTCCCAACTTTGGGGACAAAGCCCCACACATTTCCAAGGAACATGCAGAAGATTTCTGCTTTGTGAAAGTTTTGTGCAGCTTTTATACTTTGTAAAGTGAAGTGCCTGTCAGTCAGAAATTCCAGCTTATCTTTCCACATCTTGCTTCCACAGCAAGATGTTTATTGTCAGCTGAAAGCCTTAGTGCCATGTCGCCGAAATATCTCACTACAAGACAAGCTGTCTTGATTATTTCACCAAAGCTCATGTGAAGATCATGTGAGGGGCAGGATGCCTTGAGTTATTTCACCAGCTAACAAGCAACAGATAAGGTCTTGTGGTGGGGGAGATGCCCTGCTACACTTACCAGGCACTATCACAGGCAAAACAGGCTTGACTTGTGGAAAATTAATTTATTGCAAATTTAAGTAGGTGGTAAGAAACAGGAAGACAAACATTAAAACAACACCTTTCTTTCCTCCTTTCCCATGTTTAAATTAATTCCTTCACTCCAGACTCACCACCATCCCCAGGGTGCAGGGGAAATGAGGGAGGGGAGTTTACAGTCCGTACATAATGGTTGCTTTCTGCCACTCCTTTCTTCTTGTACTTAATTTCTTCCTACTCTGGCATAGGTTCTCTACAGGTCACAGTTCCTGTCAGGAAAGTGATTCAGCATGGTCTCTTGTGGGGGAGACAGTCCTGTCAGTTAAACTCTGCTCTGCCATGGGTTCTCTGTGGGTTCTCCATGGGCCTCAGTTCCTTCATTAAATACCTAACTGCTCCAGCATGGATCCTTTTCTTCGCCTCCTTCTCTGCCTGTCCAGTGGTGGATTTTTTGCTCTTTGCTAAATATGTTTTCACAAAGGCACCATAAACTTTGCTGATGGTCTCTACTTTAGCTGTCAGTGGGACCATTGCCAAGCTAGCTGGAACCAGCTGTGTCTGGCACAGGGTAGCCTGACTTCCTCTCCTAGAGGCTACTTCTGCAGGTGTTGTCATGTCTGTATGTATATGTGTGTCCATTACCAAAACCTTGCCACGTAAGCCCAATACACCTGTAATCCTAAGAAAATTAATTTCACAACTGAATGATGGCTTTTGAAGGAGGACAGAAATTATTTTACAACTTCTGTCTTTAGTAATGTGCCTCACAGTCTGAATATTAAGGAAAAAGAGTTTATAACAATTCTCTGATCATATTATCCCCCATTAGTGACAGACTGTAATAGTATCAAAATAGTATCAAAATTCTAATTCAGGCCCTATTTTTAATAATTTTTCTACATGGTTCCATGAAATATAGAAATTGTACTGACCATTGCTACTCTTCTTCATTTGTACTCTTTTCTAAATTTCTTTGAATTTTCCATGATCTGGTTCTGCTAATAAAACCCTTTCTTGTTACAAGACTTCACTTATCAGTTTAGGGTCTTCAAGATAAATACTTAGTCACTGAGATGAGCAGCTCTGGTGCCAGCACAATCCATAGCATAGGGGGGATTCCTGAACCTGGGGGAGCCACAAGAGCCGCCAGGAGCCCACACTTGTGCTACAGCTGCTGATAAGACCTGGGTGGGGCCAGGAAGAATGGTGGTCAACCCCCCCACCTCCATATGAAAGAAGCCCCTATGGAGTGCTAGTGACACAACAGGGCTGTTTGCAGGGAAGGGCGTGCAAAAAAGGCACTGTAGCTCTGCCAACATAACCAGGAAGTAATGGTATCCAGCTGGCAGAAGGCTATGAACACTCTAAACTCTGCACCCACAATGAATGACACAGTTATTCAGACAGAGCTCTGGTGGGAAGATGCTGCTACCCAAGTGTGGGGCTGCAGGGCATATCCTACTCTTATGCCAGTACTGGACAGCAGCAGTGAGCACAACTGGGGGAGGTCCACTCAGGTAGAGGAACTACGCCGCTTAGCAACAAAGCTCCAGGACGTGATGAGTAGGTTGTTAAGGAGTATCAGGGAGAGTGAAAGAGAGACTACTGGAATTGCCCCCTACCTTCCCTGCAGCAGGGCTGTCAGGCAGACAGGACATATGATATAGAATATTTCCTATCCTGTCTTTGCTTGGCAGAATGTGGTGACTTAAGCGATAGGGGACAATGGTGACAAGTTCCTGCTTGGTGTTATCGGCAATGAAGAGAGACGGGGACTCTGTGAAATGGTCAAAGAATCCAAATTTATTGTGAACTACAACTGCTTATATACTTATTCTAGGAAGACTAGTAATGTTTTAAAACAAGGATTGAGTTAATCATCGCATAAACAAACTTATACATTTTAAACATCTCTTGCTTGCAGAAGTTGATTCAATCTTCTTCCCTGTCCCAGTCTGATCCAATTTTCTTGCAATCTTCAAAGCTCTGTTTGTTCTTGCCAAGGCATCCTGTTATCAAATCTCTTATGCTAATCAAGTCCAAAGTCCATCATCTGTCTCGTGTGTCCCAATAGGTGTAGCAGAAGTAAGGAGGGGAGTCAGCAGAACTGCCACCTTGGACTTGTGGAGGGCACACTTCAGCCTGTTTAGGGGCCTGGTTGAAAGAGTCCCTTGAGAGGCAGTCCTGAAGGACAAAGGAGTCCAGGAAGGCTGAACG